CGGGAATTATTACATCCGCCATCTTCGTAAGCAATGGCGGTCGGCTTTCTTCGTTCTGTGCTTCTTTCAGCTATTTCTTTTGTGTAGCTGTGTAATTTAATGTCTCAGTGTGCTAAAATGCCGCAGTTTGTGTAATGTTCTATATGTTGGTGTGAAGTTTATTTCGAATCAGCGATGTTTTCTGGGTTTTTGCTGTCTCTACTCAAGTCAATGTATTTCTTCAGGCAATCTGGCTAGTCTTTTGTTATATAATGTCGGCCGGCTTTCTCCGTTCTGTGTTTTTTCCGCTATTTCTTTTGTGTAGCTAAGGAATTTAATATTTCAGTGTGCTAAAATCCAAAAGTTAGTGTAATACTCTAAACGTTGGAGCAAAAATTTTCCTGATTTCGCTTTGTTTTCTGGGTTTTACCTGCTGCTACTGAAGTCACTGTATTTATTCAGCTAAGCTGGCTAGTACTAACATAAGACCTTACGTTTTTAAACGACAATCGGTTATGTTTTACCTTGTTTTCTAGATATCCAAAGCCGAAGTTCGTTTTTATTCAGCTATAATAATTGTTGCTGCCGCCTGTGACTCTAACTGTTCGCATGTTCGTTCCTAACTGTCCTTTATGATGTTATCGGCAAAACGAAAGGAAACAATCGCCGGCTTTCAATTTTCTTCAGTACTATGGACAACACTATCCCACCAAAGAGTCAAACTAATACTGAGTGCCCAGAAGTAGGGGATAACAGTATTGTTTTCGAAAGAACTCAGACTTCCAATAACCATACATGAAGTCACAGATGCTACCAATCTATTGCAGAGGGTTTGTTATGAAAGATATGCCATATAGCAGTAATAGAGGGGTTGTAATCATTATGCAGTGTGTTAGCAAGCTTAACATTGAAAAGCCGGAAATCTGCTACTAGTGTGTAATGTATGTTTGCTGTTTTGGCCATAAAAGGAAGCCGAAGGGTCATGATCAGGGAGTAAAAAGCTAATTAACTGTTATTAAGCTCACTTTTTTACAGATTATATTTCACCACTCGCAAATTTGTGTTTTCTTACGGTATGATGTCAACTGGTACCTAATATGATCCCCCTCACGATGAAAAGTACCTGCAAATTTTCACCTTCATATATGAATTATTTTTGGACAACTGTCTTACAGTCTGAGTGCTTCGTACGCCCCGAGAATCTCTATTTCTACAACATTCGTAGTCCCAGTATAACTTTCTCACGAAGTAAGTTCAAATTAGACACTAGTCTTTCTAAATAAGCCTGTCAAGCTAATATCCGTATTCTCTATTTCAGTTAATCGATGAAGACATGTACTACGTGCATCTGCTGTATACTACCATTTTACTCCAATTCTAACTGTTATATCTTACTTTTGAATAATAAAATTGCTATATGCAGCAAATACAGACTTATTTGTTTTGATGAAGGTAAAGGGGTTCATGGGATTTTCATTAAGAATCGAATATCAAACAAAGGTTTAAACCAAGTTCCCGTTTAAAAGTTGTATTGGCAATGTTAAGCTGTAGTTTTTGTTGTTTTTTTTCCAAACGAAAGAGTGAAAGAAGTCAAAAAAATACTGGAAGTGGTTGTGAGACTAAAATGGAAGTCCAACATCCTTTTTATAATCTGCTATTCGTTGGGTCTCCCGTAATCAGTTCCATAGGGCCATAGTTCCAAGGGCGAAACAGTTTTCAGGGTCTGTGAAGGCACTCCTGTTGCATTCTAAATGAAAAAAATAGTGATGAATTTAGTCAGAAATGTGGAATAGATAAATAACCAAATTACATGTTTTTTAACAAAGAATTTATGCAGTTTGTTATTTACCTTGAGCTCATGAATATTAGATAAGGTCAGCTACTATTACTTGCGCAAAGCATAACATGGGCTTAGTACCGTATTGCAATGTTTTTATTATTTTGCTCCCATTTAAGTATTCCCATGCATCTGTGTCTAGTTTAACAGGACAACATACAAGCAGAGTAAGTGTCTGATAAACTAAAAGTCCCAGTTGTCAAAAAGATTCGTAACATTTGTCCACAGCCAGCTGCATTTAATTGAGACACAGAACACTCATCTTCTAAGACTGTATGCTGCTGTTTTGCGGGCAACTAAAAGCTCAGACACTTAGCTATCTTGCTACCGATGTTATTGCTGAGGAAATTGTTTAATGACAGTGATCATGAAATATGGTCAGTGATAGATGTACAGTTTAGAAATAAACACCAAACATACTTATCGCTATCTTATAATGTATGACAGCAACAGCATCAAAGACACGTTTTTTCCTATTTTTAATCAGACTGATCTGAATCCGTATACACATTAGAAACAGGCAACTCTACTTACTAAACTGATCTGTTTCGTTACAGGCTTCAAGCACTATACTTAAGTATATCATAATTCTTTCAACTAAACTGAATTATACGACAACCAAGAAAATCAAACTAAGCAAGTGTCATAGTTATTGTTTCACTTGCAAGGACATGTAGCTCAAAGTAGGTAAATGGACATAATTAAGCGGATAAAACCAAAACACGAAATATAGGCCAGTTGAACTTACCTAAGAAAAAACGAAGGATACATATATACTGCTTTAAAGCAGTATTCAGTATGAATTCATACTGAAGACAACAGGGAGTTGATCATAGAAACACAGTTTACAGTACAACAAACCTTTCTTCAGTAAAATCATGCACTGACAGTCTATCTGGAAACAATCATCTATGTGAATAAACTCACTATGACTTGAGATACCATCTCAGCGTGCAATGGACGTACAGTGTAACGCAGTCGGACGTGGCGAATAAAAATTAAAAACAGAGAAAAATTAACTACATAATCTAGTTATTTAATTAAAAATACATTATGAAATGACAAAATCTGTGGTTACTTGAACGCACAAATGACAGTGTGCGATACATTAAGTTTACATGGTTGCGTTGCGGATAAGATCACCCGTGTTTTTCACGACTGTATTGCTTGTGAACAATGTAATGCCTATATCTTTCTTGGGCAAAAACACGTGGAACAATGTATTATCCAAAAAGTCTAATATATTTATCATCAAGCTGATCATGCCTATAAATAAGCATGATTTTTGTACTTGTTCTTTTCAGAACATATATAAATGTTTTCAACATCCACTCGATTTTCTACTGTTACCGTAAAGCCTTGAAATTCACAATACTTTTATTCTATATATTAAATACGTCTTTGCTTAGGTGTAACAGTTTTAATATTATTTCACCGTAAATGGTCGTTGTTGATTTTAGACGCAAACACTAGCAGGTATTCATAGTATCGATCAATTTTTCATGTCTATACAAACTAACGTGCTCTAAGCCTCAGATGCCACACGCACCGAGATTTTCAGACGTTTTGAAAATATTTCTGCCATGATGATACCTCTCTCATGGTTCCTTCTTAACTTCATTAAATCATCAGACAGAAATGGCGGTTTTCACCAGGGCTATTTTTTGGAAATCACTTTACTTGAAGTGAACATTCGCATTAGCTGTTCGTACAATGTATTTTTCATCAAAATCGAATACCATGCTTATTCGTTCCTCAGAAAACATCCTGTTAGGATTACTCATCAGAACTCATTGTAGATAAGCAAAAGTTGAGTTACTGGTAACCCAAGTTATACAAACTATGGGAATATTCAGTCAGATTCATTATTTGCATTGTACAGTACAAATACCGTGTGCGGGATTACTGTGCGATAATTTTATCAACCAAGTAGAATGACCTTCAAGTTTACATATACAACCGTGACAGATTCCAGCCCTTCAGCATACATGGAGTACAAGTGATTTTAAATTCTTCGTGCCGACCACAAATTAAAAGACGTTGAACACTGCAGATGTGTATTATTAGAAGTGAAAACTTGCATGTTCTAAAACTAAATGACATCACCATTTTATAACGCACATAAATTACAGTATATCCTAAATAGAACCAAAGAGGATCAAATTTATGCATGAGAAATGAGGTATTTTCATGTGACGGTACTTTGACGAAATGAATAGACAACCTTGCAGCATTTATTTGGACTCCTAGATCAGCAGCGAATCCTTATCGGCAAAAATTGTGTAAGCAGCTTTCATAGGTATTTATTATGTATCATAAAATCTGCTGCATGAACCGTGATGTCAGTTAATCTGAACTAGTGGACGTAAGTTTCGAAAAAACGTGATTTCATGAAAGCCCACAGACATGTTCATTTTGTTTTGCGTCTTCAGGTAAAGTTACTCAGAGTACTATTTTGTACTTCGGAAATACGTCTATTATTTGAGGATCCCGGTGCCAAAACGTTTACACTTTCTTTGAATTGCATCATATCCAGAGCAAATATTCTGACCGTAACAAGCTTGATAAGTTCTTCCTATCAGTCAACTGATGAAAATCACTGCTCAGAAAAGCCAAGGTAGGTTTTTCTGTGTGACGATACAAGTTTGTACCGTTAGAAGCAAAAAAACGATTATCCAGACTGAACAGACTTTCGAACATTGGAGGGCGACTAATGTTATAGATTCCATTTTGTCGTTACTACAAAGACAGCCGCTTTACGAAACCTTTCGAACCCGAAATTCTTGATTACGTGGTAAATTATATTGAATCTTTCTGAAAAAACCGCGTTAACCTATATTTTATCATCTCACGTTGTGGAACGATGTCAATAAATGGCCAAAAACTATTCACATGCGAGCGAAAATAAGTAAATTTTTGTGCGTGTCATTGAAGTTAGAGTGGTTTCGTTGAGACCCTCATAAAGCATGGTTTTCATACTCTAGCCATTTTTACGAACTTATTAAAACCTTGAGTTATAGAATGTGTTATGCTTACGTCACTTCTGTACTTATCATGATAAATTTTATCTTGTTATACCCTGCTTCTTCAAACCTATTCGTTTGATGAATTCGAGAGAGTCCAATGTGAATTTAAAATGATTACTTATGCTACCTTTGTATTGATATATGTGTCGGTGTTTTACTGCACTGTCGCTAAAGGTCGTGACGCCGTTGCGTTTTCGAGTTTTCATCTTTGGGAAATGAATGAATATTGATGCTTGATAGCCTTGTAGTGCCTAATAAGTCAAACGATGCCTTGAAAAATGATGCGAACAATAGGGATTCAATTTTTTGCGACTACTACTCGAATCGTCAAGGAAGTATGTCGAAATAATTGTTTTTGTAAATTGTCTAAAGGCTTTTCCAATCGCAGGTTGAGGGATTTTTCCAATATTTCGGAAACTTTGAAGTTTGTAGAGCATTTGGATTTATCTCGAAACTTCATCACAAATATTCCGAGTGGAATCGAACAATATAGATTGCTTACAACTTTGGATTTAAGGTATTTCAATTTTTTATTTCAGCATTGTAATTCAGTTTCAACAAAATTTTTTCTGTCCCGAATTCGCTATGCAAACTACCGAGCCTTCGGATTTTGGTAATGTCTAACAACTATTTGTCTTCTCTTCCTGCGAATATTTGTGAACTTCAAAACTTGCAAGAGCTGGTAATTCCCCTCATAAATGTCGAACTACATTTCAGGATTTGTCATTCAACAGGTTTAAACACTTTCCTTCTTCTATTTGCTCACTTCACAGTTTAAAAGTTTTACTATTAGGATGTAACCTGATTGAAACACTTCCAGAAGGTATGTTCGTTCGAAGTATGCACTTCGAATTATGGTAATTCGGAGACGTATAACTTTTTAGCGCACATTGTATCTCTTTTATGTTTACCAGTTTTTAAGTTTTTGTTTAGAATATATATATATATATATATATATATATATATATATATATATATATATATATATATATATATATATATATATATATATATATATATATATATATATGGCCTATAGGTCACTTAAATATTTTCCAACACTGATATACGGTGTCTTTGCTTGTAATTAATGCTTTCATGACAATTTACGAAATTTACTGATACCAATAAAATATCTGATGGTTCATAATTGATACATTAGCAATGCATTTTTGTGATGGAATGTCATCAGTATATTTTGTCACTCCGGAAACTAGATTTTAACTCATTTTTATGATGACCACCTCATCTTCTGGTCAATATGACAGTGTAATAGTATTTTAAAACTGAAGGTCTAAGGTATTCTATGTTGTATCATATCATTTTCAGGTTATCTTCCTTTTTTAGAATACCTTTGCAGTTATAACAAATTTAGTAGTTCCGCATAATGGGAATACTTTGAGCGTAAACTTTAAACCACATTAAAGTTAGAGCTATTGTTTTCTCTGTTTGAAACATTTTCTAAAAATTAGTGATTACAAATATTATTAATTTCATTTGTTGAAAATTTGATATCAAAACAGCCTGATTCATTATAGTATTCTAATTGTCGTATGAACTAGGAATTCCAGGATTAACGCAATTGAATTAAGAAGACACAGGCACCAACTAATGTATTGTATTTATAATTCGAAATCAAACAATCAACCAGTACAAAGGTATCATTAGTCCATTCAAACACCACATCCGCCACAGCTTAAATAGAAGTATAATTGTTTGTAATCGGTTGTACTTCTTCTTGTTAAGTTCATCCTGAGTCTGTCCAACATTGTGTAAGATAAAAACTTTGTAGTATCTAGAAAGTGCTCATTAGTATTGGAATTAACAAACGAAATCGGAACAGACTCACCTGGAATTGTATACAACCAGCATGTCGGTTTTGTAATGAAATCACTATTATCTAGAATGCGAACCATAGATTTTTCAACACTATCCTCCCCCACGAAATAATGTTGGATCTTTATATCCCCAGGTTATGAATAATGTGGCTTCATTTAAAACATATTTCTCAGATTGTTTAGAGTAAACATTAGAACTGCTTTTGTGATAAGGGTAAACAGCAGTTGATATGAAATCATCCGAAATGTAATCAAACTCGAGAACACTTAGTACTCGTGCTTCGCACTAAGCAGGTTTTTCACAAGGATCAAATGCATTATGAGGAGAGGTAATATATGATACGACATTAGGATTTGATTCTTCTGAAATATTCTCATGAAATTCATTAGGACTGTCATTGCAGAGCGTAGGATAGTTAGAAAAATTAGCATCTATCCAAACCACATCAGGTTTCCAATCATGATTAGGTTCATTTAACATATTTTCCTCAATATTGCAAGTAATTTCATTAGAAATATGTGAATCATTAGGAAAAGTCATACCTGGTACAATAGCATGAGAATTCTGATAAATCGGTTGATTAGGAACTGTTGTCTCACAAGAATTCTGGATTTCATCTAACTCTGAACTGTCATATGACTCTGCACTGTCTTTTGAAATCGTTGATAAAGATAAATGATCATTAGAAACATCCAAATTATTGAAATTTAAATTACAAGATTTAGTACAGCTTGAAGCAAAATGGACAGTAGCATTGCATACTGACTGAATGTGTCCTACCTTACCACATTTAAAACATTTAGCATTACGAAATACACATGGATTGCGAGCATGAAACTTTCCACATGATAAACATTTACCAAACTTCATCTCACCTTTGTGATTTGCTTTGTAATTCCTCGTTGAAACACCTTTCGTATTTACCCGAGAATAGGAATCACTGTTAAATGAACGCAAATTTGATTGACCCTGAGATTGTAGTTCATCATGACGACTAAGCAAAGTAACAGAAATCTTCATCGACTGGGTATCAAGTTCATTCACTGCTTCGTAGTTAATACACGCAGTCCTAGCATCTTGAAAGGAACAGTTTGGCATTTTTGAAAGCTCTCTTTCCGAATTCGGTATGTCAATTCCTGCAATTAATCGATCTCTCAGTTGCACATGAAGTTGATCACCGAAATTACACTTGGCAGCTTGTTTCTGTAATTCAAGGATGAATTCCCGAACCTTTTGGTCATTTTGACGAATCATCTTATGAAACTTCGCCCTTTCACGGCATTCAAAACTGGTGCATTTTACATGACTTAATAATAGCTCTTTAAGAGTTGCAAAAGGGAGTGAGATAGGTTTTTCTGGATATGCTAAAGTTCTTAATAAGCTGTACGCTTCTCTTCCAATGAATGTGAGGAAGTGTGCCACAATATTAACATCCTCATCATCTTCTTTGGTCATGCTCCAAATTTCGAACCTTTCCAAATAATTCTCAAAAGCTTCAGGAGTTGAATGAATATCCAACTTTTCCATTGCAGGCTCCATTGCGACGCCAATATAGTAGTAGAATTATCGTATGAATTAGGAATTCCAGGATTAACGCAATTGAATTAAGAAGACACAGGCACCAACTAATGTATTGTATTTAGAATTCGAAATCAAACAATCAACCAGTACAAAGGTATCATTAGTCCATTCAAACACCACATTCATCAATCGTTAATTTTAACCACTGAAAAGATAGAATTTCACTAGCCTTTGGCCAATCAAAAGACGTCAAATACATAGTTCTCTGTTTCTGAATTACCCTCGTTTTACTCTATTGACTTTTTATTAATTGAAGGAAGGCAAAGTAATGTCGGACATAAATCTGCTGTTAAAACATTGCTATACCAAAGCTAAAAGGTCGTGAATTCTTCGACATAATTTGTTTTTATTAACTTTACTATTATCTTGTCATTAAGGAGTGCGTAATGTATTGAAATAGTATTTTTTTAAACTACCCATTATTGTTTTCCCTTGTAAGAAGCGTTGTTGCGCCACTTGAAGTTATCATTTATATCCGCGTCACTTGCCCCTTAAGTAGATGGCTAAAATATTATGATCTTCACTTATCACTATACGAGAGCAACTAACGACAATCTTCATAAATCTGATTCTACATAGTAAGCATCATGAACGTGTCATTAAATACCAGCTTTTTAGTTGATGGACGAAATTCATTGTAGTGCATGTACTGACTTTAGTTGGCAATCATCTTTTTTCTGACTAATTGGTTGACATTTATTGCGCTTCAGGTTTTCTTCCCGTTCCATTATAGATAATAATAATAATGGCGTTCTTTCTGTAAAATAGTGGATGATGTGTCACTAGCCGTGATATCGATGTATATCCGAATCATTGTTAAGTTCAGGGCTATTTGTTAACAAGTTTGATTTCATTTTTCAGTTGAGTATTGCTAAGTATCTGTAGCAATCAAACTCTGTTATCCCACCCAACAGAGTCACATCTGCAGATAATAGGCGAAATTCTGTTGAGACTAAATCTCTTTGATAATAAGTCGTGAGTTATCTACGGTTGTGCATCTGTTGGTGCCATTCACATACGTGCTTTGTGTATGAAGTCAGATATCATATTATAAAATATAATTGTCTTTAGGGGCTCAGAACTCATATATTAACAAGGAAAATTCCGTAGTAACCTTTTATTTTTATATTTTCTATTTATATACATTCATAAATTATAATTTGTTCTTTTTGTACTTCAATTTTTAGACATAGTTGGTCTTCGTTGTTTGAAGATTTTGGACTTGCATTCAAACGGAGTAAAGCAACTACCTTTGAGCATTAGATTTATGTGGTGTTTAGAGAGGTTATCTCTAGAGGAAAATCCCCTATCCCCTCCCCTTTTAACCGTGAGTCTTATTAGTGAGCATGCTCAAACACATTAGTTTTTTTGAGAGCTTTATTGTGAACATATTCATCAGTTATCAACTTCACAACCCGATTTGATTCCATTCCAATAATTTAAAACAGTATGAGATACATGAACTTAACAGAAGTGGTTTTGGTATGATGTAGAAGAATCATATCACTCTTAGATTTAATAAATAGTTAACAGCGTTTTGTGGATTTAAATTTATCTCTAAATCACATTTATTAAGAGTGAAGATAAAATATGATAGTTTCATTTGGATAGAACATTAAAGCGTTTCTTTGTTTACAAAATATTCATTTTCCAGTCAAGTTCATGTTACAAGTCTATTGTATGTTGTGGAAACCATTGAATTGCAATTTATGCACGCACATTTATGTACAAATGCTCTGTTCACCTTTATAATGCAATTAAAAATTCCACTGTGGATTCCATCTCAAAATATTTCTCTTATTTAGTCAATATTTTCTTCTCATTCTTACGTAATTTTTATTAACAGTCAGCAAACTGATAAAACTTCCAAACTCTTCTGATAATTCGATCATAAGATTTTTTTTTAAATAACAGATCGTCACTAACTGATGATGATGTTTTTATTCTAATTATTATTTGATTAAGATTTTGTTTACTTTACTGTTAAACATATTTATCAAAAAGGTCAGATTAACGACTCAAAGTAAACTATTTCTAATCATTATACACGAATATTTAAGTTTATTCGAATTTTGAACGGGAAATTTGATGCAACAATGGAAATGATGACGTTAGAAGTTATTTTATAGAGGACTGTTTTTAATCTAAGTTTCTGCACGTTAATTCATACTCTTTAGTGTATGAAATGCTTGTAGTAATGAATGAAAGCGAATATAACATCCGTTGTTTAACAAGGAAATGAAGCCTTGGTTAGAAGGATGTTATTAGGATGTTAGTGATATTTAGTAGAAAAATTGAAGTCTTCTCTTATGGAATAATATAAATTTTTTATGTGGAAACAGCATTCATTAGAAATTTCTATACTACTAACATTGAAGTGATGATTTAGTAGTCTTAGCACTTGGTTTTCAATCATGTAGTAATTCCTTGACTTAAACCCTAATTCAGCTAATTTAGAGTTTGATCAGTTCATCAGTATGTCACAAGGATTCATAAAAAAGTATAAATCAAATATTGATACAATCAGTTTGTCGTTTTATATTAATAATCATTCATCAATTTCACATTTTAAGTTATTTCGATCTGGTACTTATTTATTTTCACCAGTTGGTAATATTAGCATTGACCTTTGCTTACTCATGAATAATTTAAACAAGATAGATTATATGCTTGAAAATATATTTGCTCATCAACTAACCAGTAATTTTTTTCGACTTGATAGTCAGAGCTTAATGTCATTTACTATGACGAATGGGAAATCACATTTATCATATTTCATTACAATTATTCCCTGATTGTGTAACATTTTATGGATCTTATTTATTTTTCAAGAGACATATACCTTTCTTTATTTAAAAAAATAACAGATTGTTGCTCGTGGGATCCCATACATATTTGCATTTTTAAATCAACAAGCTTTATACAATTCTAATAATACAAGTTGCGAAAAATTTCATGATTCGTTAACTCAATCGTCTTCTGCTCAGGTAACAAATACTTCAAATCAACAGAATATGTTGAAACTTTCTGAAAGTCAGGATGTGAATTCAAACTCTTCTAGTCCATGTTTCGAGAAAACCGAGGTAAATACGGATTCTGACCAAAGATACATATCGAAATCTGAAATTACAAAGTAAGTTTACCCTTCATATATATATTTAAATAGATCGTTTTATCACTATTTTTCCAAGGCCTTAAACAATTTGTTAAGTAGTGGTTTTTAGTCTATATGATATCACTTTTTTCGAAACAAAGACTCTAATAGACCATAGACGTCCTTTCTCATGCCCCAAGATAGATGTATTTACTGTTTGTTTTCTAAATATTGAACATCCTCTTTCTTTATATTCATGATTTTTCCTCAAGCCGGTTTCTTTTCGTTTTATTTTACTATCCTTCGATTTCTCCTAATCTTGTCTTCATCTATTATTTTGATAAATACGACAAATTGAAAAGATACTCTCTACATTTTCATATCAGGCAATGTAAATCGGAAAGAGAGAAAGAAAGAGAAAAGAAACTGGACTATTGTTTTGTCATAGTCTATGATATCTCGTTTGTTCATACCAACTATCAACTAGGATGTTAAAGTCTTGTAATGAGCTCTATAAAACTAAATCACCTGCTTTGTATTTTCTAGGTTCAGTGTTTTATAGTTTATAAATATGCCATTGCAATGTATATGAACATTCTCAGCCCTATTCTTAAATTATTAAAACAATAAAAATACATAAGAATCTATTTTTGTAATAAAATGAACATTAAAATAGAGTATAATGAATAATAAAATTACTATTTATTTAAAATGCAAAATTAAGAAGACAAATTTTGTCAGTGTTAATGTATATACTTTTATCGATCTGGTTTATGTAAATTACTATAAAATTACAGATGTTTGTTTTTTCTTTGTCACTATGTGCTCTATCAATTATAACTACAGTGTTTCAAATTGGTGTATGTACATATATGCAAATACAGATAGACTTTGTTTTCTCTCCCCCCTCTCTCTCTTTCTCTCTCTCTATATATATATATATATATATATATATATATATATATATATATATATATATATATATATATATATATATATAGTGTATGTAAACACATGTTAGTGTACGTGTTTATGTCCAAATGCATATTTTTTTTGTTTGTATTACTTCTATTTAAATCCAATGAACTCTTTCTTATATTCTATGAAGTACAAATACGTTATTAATCTTCATTATTGAAGAAAGAATAATTTATTATTGTTGAGAATATTTCTTTTCGAATATTGATTTTTAGTTAGTCCAATATTCAATATTCAAGTTCATATGTATTCCATTTTTATTCGGATACTACTTAAATAATAAGTGAATAATTTATTTAGGTAGTGTATAGTGATAAAAATGGAGAATAAATAAAAAATTCAATCCTTGGTTGTGTAAACATTATTCTCTATTTCAAATTAGATTACACTCAAATGATTTGTGTTAGTACAGTTAAGTTTTAGCAAAGTAACTAATTAAGATCAATGTGTCATGTATTTAAGTTGAATCTGTTATATCTTAACGAGAATAAGGAATGATAATTGTTGGGATCTATTTACAGTCTTATACTATACATATATTCTTATTGTATAACTGTTGAGTAACTAGATTATGTATATTTATATTCCTCTTATTATGAGCTTTATTTTGACGTATAGACTATTATTATACAACTTACTATTCCTAAATTATGCCCACTTTATTAATAACAGTCTCCCACAATCGTGATCAGCTTTTGGTTTGATTTTGTGTAAATGTTATTTCTTATTTCATAGTGTGATGTTGTCTGTTTGGCTTGTATATAAACCAGATATGTTTGAAATAAATGATTCGTATAGTGGAAGCTGGTATTAGTGTTCTAGACTCAACTGGAAGAGCTAGGAAGAAAAGGACCAGTAAAGACAATAGGCTGCTTATACCGGTCGATACTTCATTTGTTTGGCGTAGTGTTAAGATTGTGCAAGTCGTATTCCGATTCACGAATAAGTCATGTGATAATTAGCAGATCGTAAAGTCACAACAGAATCTGTTAGGATAAATTATGATATTTGTTTAAATTGACTTTAGTTCTTATCATACAAATATTTCCTAGAATATTTATCTTTTGGAGGAGATGGGGCTGAGAGATTAAGGACGTTTTCGTACTTGAATTTCATAAACTAATTTAATAGTTATTACTGTTAGTTGAAGATAATTCAGTGTAGTCGGTAATGAGGATTTATTTAAAAGATATTTTCATTTATCATAGTGCCTATTTAGTAAAAAAACTTTCACTATTACTTCAAATCATAACGATTCTTAGTGTTAAAAATTATGTTGACAATCACTTATTTGACAAAATCGGATACATTAGTTTTATATTAATTCATGAATGTGTCGCTAATCTCTGAGTGTACATTAGTTGAATTACTGGATGCAGTTGTTGCATTTCAATATTCCAGTGACTTTATGTAGTGTATAATTTTATTTGTAAGGTATTTCTGTTTGCCCGTGATGCTTCATCGTAAATCTTTCAGATCACTTTATTATTCTTTAGTCCGAGTTAGTCCCTTAAAGTTTTCTTATCTAATACGTGATTTGATTCCTAAAGACACCAAGTAAATTATACTTGAACCATCATTTTACTCACTGCTTTCAAATATTTAGGATGTTATTTATTTATTTTTATTTATTTAAACAAATAAATATTGGTACAAAAGGGCACCAAATACACATATGCCACACAAGTCACTTGATTTATGTGTGGGCTGTAATACTGCCCGGATGCTCAGACCGAAGCAAGTGGTTTTCTTAGGGGGTCACGCCCGGAGCCTTCCACCTTAAACTCTGATCCACAAGGCAGTAGTCGGTGACCAACCATTGGTTCATATGCCATTTGTTCCTTCAGTATATTGGAGCCCACGTGGATCATTTTATTTGGGATCAGGGCTTTCCAACTCCCCTAGGTAGACTCATCGTTTCCGCCAAGCTGGTTAAAGCGCTGGACATTCGCTTTTCATCCTCTCAATTTTGCAGACAAAACCGGTGCCGCGAGAAAGCAGTGTGTAGGACTTTACTGACAGTGGCTGTATACGTGTGGCCACGTGAAAGCATTTCAAGAGGGACAGCTGACTTTCCCCACTCTCGGCCGTACCAGGGCATTTGGGGGCATTTAAGATGTTGTTAACATCCATAGTCGAGTGGTTTTATCTTCACCCTTCAGAGTTAACACTCAGTTAAATGTTTTAGCTAATATCAGTATAAGAGTTGTGGAGATTGTTAAGTTTTTGATTGAGATCATGAACCGATTAATGCTAGACCACCATTGAAATCCTTGAAGCACTGAACGGCCGTTTCGTCCAATTGTGGAGCTCCTCAGCAGTGCGCATCTACGATCTCGCCCGCGGGATTCGAACCCAGGGCCTTCAATGATGGTCTAACATCGATCGGTTCATGATCTCAATCAAAAAGTTTTAGCTAATAATTTGAAACCTTAACAACTCTACTCTATCAATTATTTTAATTGATCTCATTAAAATTAAACATTTATTCCAATCACATAACCATATTATTATATTTATTTTGTTGTGTTTTTGAAAAAAAAATAATAAAACTGAATAAAATATCCTACTCAAAGTCCTTCGTTGACAATTCAAAACTTTACTTATTCAACAACAAATAACAAAAATGAACAATTTGATAAACCAAATGCTAAACTACACTCAAATGACTATAATTGTATTGAGAATTTTAGTCATAATGTATCAACACAATCTTGTATAAATGAAACATTGAAATCTGGATCGTCATTTAGTTCTTTATCAACTGATGATAATGAATCACTAACAATGAATATGTATTCTTCTGCTTATGAGGTATGTTATATTATACTGATATAAATTTAAATTTTTATGTATATTTTTACAGAGTCATCACCTGATTGAAAACAATTAACATAAATGTTTGAGAAAACTGTTGCAAAATCTGTACAGCGGTTCTAAGCTAAAAATAGTTATGTAACCGATGTTATGCTTTTTGTTAGATAATGCTGATCGAATACCATCTATCAGATTACTAGTACAAATGGCTTGATATCAGCAGGAATCTGATTATCTTCCACCACATAACATGAAAAATAGGTTCAGTATTAATGTATTCATTTAGTTTGGTGGTAACGTTTCGAATTAATCTTTATCATTCACTTAGAAGTACGGATTAGAAAAACGACATAGGCTAGTATTCAGTATGAACTGATTACTTTGACAGGTCTGTTGGGGCTGAAATAACCTAATGGTAATGTCTCTGACATTATGTGGTATAATTTCGAACCTAATGGCAGGGATTATGTAAGTCATATAATCGCTGTATTACTTATTATCCATTTCTATTTATAAATGAACAATAATTACTGATATACGTTTCATCATAAGGTTTGCTTTTATTTTATCAAACAGTTCATCTTTTACTATTTCAAACTCTCTCTTTCCGTTTCTACCATATTCTCACAATCAACACTAATATTTTGTTGTCCCACCCATTAAATAACTTTATCCAACAGACTCAATCTGTAGTTAGTTTTAATTAACTGGACTGAATCTAGATGATTTGTTAAATTAGGAGTTTCGTTTTTCTTTTTATTTAAGGATAACAATTCAATCATTGTGTATACTTCTTCATTGCATACTACTACTATTGCTTATTAATCGATTGAGAATTGTACCAAGTAGAAAATTCACTCTAGAACACATTAGGAAATTAACATTGATTGTATCAATAGTTCATTTACATTCTATTCTATATATGATTAAGCAGTGAAGTTGATTTGAATAACTTTCTTTTAATGTATGTATTTACATTATGTTTACAAACAAACAATCAAACAAACAAAGAGATAAATACTTAAATATGTATATACATCATCGTTAACAGACAAATGGGTTAGAATTTGTCTATACCTTAGGAATTGTTTGTAAAATCCGCCCATTTTTTTGTATATATCTCATACAATACATTGAACTTTTGACCAAAACAGTTTAAATTATAACCCTATAGATTCACAATCAAAAAATATTTTTACACAACGGCTATATTATCAGTATTATTATTTCCTATTACCAAAAACAAAAATTAATGAAGAAAAATTTATCATCTAGTAACTAGGTTACTTGTCGAATGTTAGTTGAATGGGCATGGAAACAGTATTATTCAGTTTGTTTTAGAAATTAAACATTGAATAAATTGATTTATTATTATAATTTATTATTTTAATTTATATAAAGTGCTAACTTATTTCTCTTTATAAAATAAGAATCATAACCATAGAAATGAAGGAATTACTTCGATTACAAGTTGGTGTTAAGAAACAAAAAAATGTAATTCATTTTTGATTAAAATTAAACATTTGTTAATTATGGAAAGGGGATAAAAATCAACCACTACATTGAATCATGCACTTTAAATGTGAATTAGATACTATCTATCAAAACATGTGATGTTGTAGTTATTTATGGTGTATAGAAGAATATTGTTGAAATCTTTGAATAATCTTGAATGATTGTATTCATCTGTTTAAGTTAGTGAAATTTAGTAGTGTTTTTAGCAAAGTTGTATGCTAAATATTTTCAAGTACATTTTTTTTTAAAAAAATGATAGAATTTAACTGTTTTAGTTATAATATTATTTGTATAAACGTAGCCAATGTAACAAATGTACTGATTTGTATAGATTCAATTAATTGTGTGTACTACTGATACTTTTTGTTTGTTGAAATCATAGTGGGTGGGACTTTGTTTAGCCTTATATAAATAGTAGAATGAATTTCTGAACACAATTATTTGAATGTGTTCTTTTTTTGGCTAGATATAATGTGCATAATGGAAATATACTTAATCTGAGCAAAAATATATCATCTTTTGGAGATTGATGATATGACTTGAATTTAGGCGTATTATCTGCCGTTTAATTAATCCCAATATTGAAAAGTGTATCTATGCCTAGATACAATGAAAATGAACAATTAATACATTACATTATTGAATTGAATTATTCTAAGTGCAGTTTAGGTGCTTTGATGAAGACATATTCTATAAAAATAATGATTTATATCACTTTATCATAATAACCATCGTTTCAGCTATTGTCTAATCCATTATTCAGTTTCCAATTCATTTTACAAGTGTTCCAGATGTTGTTTTGAATACATGTTAATTAAAACCTTTATACATAGTTGTATTGTTTACACCTACATAACATCTTGTATTGACTTTGGTATTTTTTTAAAAATAGTTTGTTTGAACTGTTATTGAAGGCTGACTATAATGCCCTGGTACGGCTGAGAGTGGGGAAAGTTCACTCTCCCTCTCAAAATGCTCTCACATGGCCACGTGCATACAACCGCTGCCACGGAAGTCGTACTCACTACCTTCAATTGACGGGGATGCTGTTTAAAAAATTCCGAGGGCAAAAAGCGAATGTCTAGCGCTTCAACCGGGTTGGTGGACACGCAAAGTCCTCTTAGGGCAGTTAGAAAACCCTGATTCCAAACCAATGATGCACATGGGCCCCATTACCCTGAGGGAAAAAATTACGTATGAAACTACACATATGGCTCTTCCAGAGTTACTGCCGGTCCCAAGCCCGGGTGAAGGAGGAGGGTCGGCGTGTGGTTAGTGGCCTCATCCCGTAGAAAACTAACTCGCTAAAAAACGCTAACCAGAAAAAATAATTCAAACCATTTAAACTCTGCCCTGGGAGTTAGAAGGTCTTCATTTAGAAAAAATATGACGCCTCATGGTGAAAGCCGAGTTCCTGAGGAAGCCACGAGGCCGATGCCCCTTCTAACAACCACAGCAACGATTTTTATAGGTATATGGAACGTCAAAACAGTGTGGGGGACCGGTAAAACCAGTCAAATAGCAACGGAAATGCGGAGATACAACTTGGCAGTACTACGCATCAGCGAAACCCATTGGACCCAAGCTGGACAACAAAGGCTAAATACGGGAGAGATGCTGCTATACTCCGGTCACGAAAGGAAAATGCTCCACACACTCAGGGAGTCGCTCTAATGCTGTCCAAAGTAGCACGAAATGCACTTGTAGGATGGGAATCTCACGTATCCAGAATCATCAAACCATCATTCAAAACAAAGAAGGAGGGGATCACAATGAATATTATCCAATGATAGCAACGACGACATTAAAGATCAATTCTACAAACGGCTGCAATCAATCATAGAGAAGTGCCCAAGAAAGGACTTCACCATTCTGATGGGAGATCTAAACGCCAAAGTCGGGATAGACAACACCGGATATGAAGATATAATCGGACAACATGGATTGACTGGGAGAGAGAAACGGAAATGAGGGGAGATTTTCAAATCTGTGTGCATTCAACAAATTGATCATAGGCGGCACAATATTTCCACACAAACGTATACACAAAGCTACATGAATCTCATCGGACCACACCACAGAGAACCAGATAGATCATATTTGCATCAATAAAAAGTTCCGAAGGACAATGGAAGATGTGAGAAGCATGAGAGGAGCTGACATAGCTTCAGATCATCACCTAGTTGTGGCCAATTTCAGACTGAAGCTAAAGAAGCAGTGGACAACTGGACAAACACTACTATAAAGGTTCAATACAGCCTTCCTTCGACATACTGACAAACTCCATGAATTCAAGATAACTCTCAACAACAGGTTGCAAGCCTTACAAGATCTACTGAAGGAAGAAGAAACTACTAAGGAGGACAACTGGAAAGGTATCAAAGAAGTATTAACTTCAACGTGTCCGGAGGTTCAGTTCTGGGCCTGAAGAAGCATCATCATAAGGAATAGATCTGTATAGAAACACTGGACAGGATGAAAGATAGGAAGAACAAGAAGACAGCAATTAACAACAGCCGAACACGAACAAAGAAAATCCAAACACAAGCTGAGTACATAGAAGCAAACAAGCAAGTGAAGAAGAGCATTAGAGTCGACAAGAAGTACGTGGAAGAACTAGCATCGACGGCGGAAAAAGCTGCTAGAGAAGGAAATATGAAACAGCTTTACGATACAACGAAGAAACTAACAGTGAAATATAGTAAACCAGAGAGACCAGTCAAAAACAAATAAGGCAGGCCAATCACTGAAATTCAACAACAGCGGAACAGATGAGTAGAGTACTTCGAGGAACTTCTGAATAGACCGGCTCCAATGAATCCACCGAACATTGAAGCAGCACACACAGATCTTCCTATAGATGTCAATCCACCAACTACGGAAGAAATTAGAATGGCCGTCAGACAAATCAAGAACGGGAAAGCAGCAGGACCCGACAACATACCTGCTGAAGCACTGAAATCAGACATCGAAACAACCACAAGCATGCTTTATCTTCTATTCAAAAAGATTTGGGAGGAGGAACACGTGCCGATGGACTGGAAAGAAGGACACCTCATCAAGATTGCAAAGAAAGGAGATCTGAGCAAATGTGAAAACTACTGAGGCATCACACTACTGTCAATACCAGGGAAAGTCTTTAACAGAGTGTTGCTGAACAGGATGAAAGATGCAGTAGACGTCCAACTTCGAGATCAACAAGCTGGATTCCGTAAGGATCGGTCGAGCACAGACGAAATTGCAACACTACGGATCATCGTCGAACAATCAGTTGAGTGGAACTCGTCACTATACATCAACTTCATTGATTATGAAAAGGCATTCGACAGTGTAGATAGGAGAACGTTATGGAAACTTCTTTGACACTACGGAGTTCCTGAGAAGATTGTCAACATTATCCGGAACTTATACGACGGACTACGGTGCAAAGTAGTGCATGGAGGACAGCTGACAGATGCATTCCAAGTAAGGACCGGAGTCAG